TGGTGAATTCCATGCCTAAATGTCCTTGTCGAATAGACTAGAATATAACTTTATCGAGTCCCAGGGGGGCATTAAGATGGAATTACTTTTATACAACTTCTGTATACGACTACCAGCCAACATTCAGACAAGGATGATGAAACTCTAGGACTTATTTGAGCTCTCTAAAAACCAATGGACTCCATACTCCTCTTATAAAAAATATCAAGCACAGTCCATATCTCACTGCAGACTTGTTATACTTCTCACCAAACCTTTCTCTATGTTTAATCTCCAGACATAGCATACAGTAGGTTTCTGGATTTTGCCAGTGAACAGAACATTGATTCATTGAAGAAAGTGATAAGTGAAACTGATAAGTGAAAATTAATTTCATGGTGAATTACAAGTCCCTCAAAGCATACATTCGTTCACAAACTCACTGACTCAACAACTTATTTTCCATGTAGATTTATAACATGTTTATTTTGAAGCCCCAATGTTCTCCCCCATCAGCAATGATAAGCTCACACAGCGTGCAAAGCATTTATGCAGAAGCCCAGTAACACAACATAACAACCCACATGAAAAACACTACAGCAAATACTACAGTAATGTTCACAAAAACACTAGTCTGCAAAACACTTTAATACTACAGTAATATTCGCAAGAACTCTACAGTAATTACTATAGTATACATGACAGTATTTAATTTGCATATACCCTGCCCATTCCCCTCCCCCATATCCCAATGTGTGCCACCCAAAATAAACCTACAGTAGTATAGAACATATAAGTATAGACCATATCATGTGTTCCCTACAGTTTATAAAAAAGAACAGAAGCACTGAACTGTCCGTTCAGACCTCAATCCTACCTACATGTTGTGGAAAATATGCTCTGAGTATTTTGTCCATAATGTTTCCTCAAGGACAAAGCCTCCACTGCTATGTCAAAGATATAACAAAAGCAGTATTGTTAATACTACTGTAATGTCCACAAAAACAATACAGTAAATACTGCTCATTCATTTATTTATATATTCTTATTCCATTCCTTTACTTAGATTTGTGTGTATTAGGTTTTTGTTGTGGAACTGTTAGATATTACTTGCTAGGTATTGCTGCACTGTCAGAACTAGAAGCACAAGCATTTTGCTACACTCGCAATAACATCTGCTAACCATGTGTATGTGACCAATACATTTGATTTGATTTGATTTACAGTATACTACAGTCTGCAAAAACACTACAGTAATTACTGTAGTATATACACTACAGTTTTTTCTTACTACAGTATTTATACTATGGTAAACAGTAAATATTACAGTATACTAGTCATGTCTGTAAAACGACATTAAATACTACAGTAAAGTCCACAAAAACACTAAAGTGAATACTAAACTATATTTTCATGTGGGAACATAGCGCAGCCTTTGACATCTTGAAAATTAAATAGTTTTTAACTCATTTATTAGGTTTACTTAGCAGCTGTAAACAGTTCAAATGATCGTACAATCTCAGAGGCTGAGTGGTCTCATCTTCAACTGATAAGCTGACGTATGTATTTTTTATGTTATACATTTTTTGAACCAGACAATCACAACACCGCAATTGTGGCAACACTTCATGACAAATCAGAGCCCTGTCAGTTGCATGACAATGACAGGCAACCTATCATAACATTTGATGACTTTGACAGATATGATACAGTACATCATATATTTATACAACAAACCCTTTTATACAACAAACCCTTTTATACAACAAACCCTTTTATACAACAAACCCTGATTTAGCACACCTTTTAATAATTAGCTGGTTGATAAGCTGAAACAGGTTATACATCTGGGGTTGGAGCGTAAACCTACAGGAGGGTAGCTCTCCAGAAACAGGGTTGGAGAGCCCTGGTCTAGATCCATAATTCCCTGTTTCCTAACAGTGTCAATGTGTCATCTGACATAACTGTGATGTTATGTTACTATGTTAAGACACAGTGTTGCGTGGGAACTAGAAAGCATGATGGGTGGGCTGGAAGTGAAATATTAGGCTACCAGTTATTTTCCAACATCATGAAGATTTTCCAAAAGAGTAAAATATGCATGACTATTGTTACAAAATTCAACCGCCACTGTATTTATATGACAGATATTCATTAGCCTCCAAATTAAGTAGGCTGTCAGTCATGAAGTAATATTTTCTTTGTAAACAAGGATACATTTGTCAGAACAACTGTTCCTGTTCTGCAGAAGAGCTTACTATATTTTGGCACAAAGAAAAGCAGCATAAAATTCTGGCGCAAGACACTCATCGTTAAAAAGAATGATTCACAATCACTATTAAAGTACAAACAAAACAACAACATAAAATCATATCCTTCACTGTATCCAATAAGTACATTGGTTCATTGTTGGTCGTTGGTTGGTTGATTCTGTTCCTTTTTATTCCCAATCCTCCTGTCTGTTTACGTGTGCAGTAGCAGGAGGCATCTCTCATCCCTGCATGGTCTCTTGTCATGTTCTGATCAGTCCCAAGGCAACTGAATAGGCAGTCACTGCGTCAGCCTCAGCCTCGGCTCTAAGTGCCCCTCCCTTTGACTGAGAGGTGTGGAGCACAGCAAGTGCCCCCCTGCATCCATCCAGCCTCCGACTCCCCTCTTTGACTGAGCACAGTCCAGCAAGAGACACAGGTACTCTATTGTCCACCTGTAAGGATGAATCCATGCATATCATGTGACATTCAATAAGATGTCCCTCTTAAGTGTGAGATGTCATCCTTAAATGTCACCAGTCAGTCATGGCCCTAAAGAGCCATGAGGAAATTGATGTCCACTGGCTACTGCACAGCTGAATGAAGGTTGACTGCACCATTTTTTGTGACATTAAGTGTGTCTCATAGGTCATATATAACCTGCGGTAGGAAGAGAAAGGAGAACATGTGCCCCCTTAAACATCAGTTTAAGAACAATATGTCCTAATTATGGTTATCAATACAAAAGAGGTACTGGAATGGAAGATTGTATTTTTGGTGCAAGCAAATGGAAAGCAATGTTCGAGACAAGACAATCAAAGTGCAGTATAATACAAGATGATGCTCAGATCTATAGTTAATGTTGTGTTTTCCAATCAGACTTTCCCCATAGAGAGATTGGCATATAATAGAACATAATCAAGAATTGCTTATAAAAAGAATTCCCTGGTAATCATCTTACCTGTACTCCACAATCAGTGTCCCTGTATGGATTGATCTACCCTCCACTAAACACAGACACAATAATGAAACATATTTGTGACACTCAGAAAGAGATGTTTAAACAGTGTACATACTTCTGCTAAGCAGAGATGTGCCTGCACTGTCAAAAATATTGTACCAGTTTGGTGGCAGGTAGCCTAGCGGTTAAGAGCATTGGGCCAGTGACCAAAAGGTTTTTTTAAAGCACCAAAAGGTCACTGGTTCGAATCCCAGAGGTGGCTATGTGAAAAATCTGTCGATGTCCTCTTGAGCAAGGCACTTAACCCTCTTTGCTCTTGTGAGTTGCTCTGGATAGGAACGTCTCCTAAATGATGTAAATGTACTTTTAAAAAATGTTTCAACAATTTGCATCAGCTTTTTGAGTACTTCCAACATGAGGTATTCTTATGTATAATATACTTAACATTGTCACGCCCTGGCTCTGGGGACACTGTTATGTTGAGCCAGGGTGTGTAGATTTCTGTGTTGTAGGTCTAGTTGTTTCTTTTCTATGTTGCCAGTGTGGTTCTCAATCAGAGGCAACGAGTGTCAGCTGTGGCTGGTTGTCTCTGATTGGGAACCACATTTAAACAGGCTGTTTTCCCACAATAGTTGTGGGATCTTGTTCTAGTTGGTTTGTGTTAGACCGTTGACTGTCACGTTATCGTTTTGTTTGTGTATCACCTATAATAAATATGTTCGCATTCAACGCTGCGCCTTGGTCCTCCTCTCTTACCGACGATCGTGACAAACATTTGGTGTTTCACAAGTCCAGCATCTAAAAAATGCCTTAGATCCAACTTAATTTGATCAATTCCAAAGCTGTTATTATCTGTTAGATCTAGTTAATCTTTTTGATTAGTTACTTTCAGTGATTGTGTCTTATTGTTTTAACATTGTTTTATGTTTTTGATTATCAGTCGTTTTAACCCACTTTCGCAGGCATTGTTGAGCATAGTGCTCAATCCACTAGCAGTAGCCTAAGTGGCGGTAGAGCTGCAAGCAGTGTTGAATGTTGCATTTGCCTCTGTCATTAAGGGTGGTGCACATGACATTGTTGATGTTGGGAATGTCTGGTGTCATCTTTGAACGTCAATTTGCCTGACAGCTTTTATATCCGTGTACCATGATCCAGTACCCCTCATAGCACAACAAACTGCTTAATATTAATATAGAAATATAGTTTTCTTTCTTCAAACATGCATATAATATTGTGTAAAAGTATCATTTAAAAAAAAAATGGAATTACCCACAATCCTCTAAAAACGGGGCCACATGGCAAGTTGTTGCAAGAACTTAGGGAATAGGGTGCCATTTGGGACCCAGCCTGTATCTTCTGTGCTCAGTGCAGGGTCTGGCTCCTCAGACCGGTCCCAATGGGCAATGGCACGTTAAATATATGTGTTACAGTACATGTTTAAATTCAGTGTTTAAATCTGGGATATCTTCTCCAGGTACTATGTGGGAATGAGGGTCTTAGTGTAGTCTGCCTCTGCAGGTTTCTATGGCAGGTACAGTATGTGTGTCTGGGATACCTTCTGCATTTCCTGAATGTCTATAGCACAGTATGGGTATTACAGTAAATGTAACATTACATGTTTAAATGTCATGTTTAAATCTGAGATACCTACTCCAGTTTGTCTCTCTATGGCATGTACAGTACAGTATGTGTGTTAAAATCGCATCTTTAAATCTGTCCTCTACATGTCCCAATGGCACATACAGTATGTATCAAATGTTTAAATCTGTCCTCTACATGTCCCAATGGCACATACAGTATGTATGAAATGTTCAAATCTGGGATACCTTCTCCAGATCCTCCATGATCAGATCCTGCTCCTTCACGTCGCTCCCAGATGATCGCCCACCAGACGTCCGCCCAACAACTTCCTCCCGGCCCAGCCCCTTCCTGTTCACCAAAGCCAATCCCGACCCCCCTGAGCCGGGCCCGGTGGGCAGGTGCAGGTTCACTGGTAACACTGCGTTGCCTTGGATACGATGCGAGTAGGTCTTCTGGCGCTCAATGACTGCGGAGCACAGCTGGAATTTAAACGCGGCCTGGAACCCCCGTCGGAAGTTCTCATTGAAGAAGCCGTAGATGATGGGGTTGACGGAGGAGTTGAAGAAGGCCAGCCAATGGGCAAGCGGGTACACGTAGATGTTGATGATGCGGTGCTGGCTCGCCGTCAGGCTGGCGTAGTCGCTCAGCATCATCAGCGTCCAAAGCGGCAGCCATGACAGGATGAAGAGCAGCGCCACCACCAACAGCATCTTGATCACCCTTTTTTTCTTCTTCGACTGACGGTGGTTGTCCAGGCTGGGTTTCGTCCCACCGCTGCTGCCACTACCACTGCACCCGCCGGAGGAGGGTATGGCCGTCTTAAAGAGGGTGAATCCGATGCGGGCATACATGATGACAATGAGTGACAATGGGGCTAGGTAGATGTTAGCGAATAGGACGGTGGTGTAGATCTTCCTCATCTCTTGATTGGGCCAGTTCTCACGGCACCAGTAGAAGGGGCGGGTGTTGTTGTAGCCGTCCCCCAGTAGGATAAGGACACGCTGCTCCTTGGTCACCTTGGAAATATTTTCAAAAACTAGATTAACTTCATTTAGATTTACGTTAATATCCTCAATGAGGCAAATTGGCAAACCATACATTTTTTGCAGCAAACTAAACACTATGTACACTCAAATTGACAGACGGAGTCACAATTTTAAAAAATAGACAGGGATGAAAATGTGTCTGATGCTTACTCTTTACATTGATGTTAAACCTGACATTTTGATGTGTCCCTCTCAAATCCATTGATTAATAAAACCTGACATGCACCAGCATTAGACAGTGTACCTGGAGCATGACCCCTGAGGGACACATTATGGAGATAGCCAGCACCCAGATGATGATGATGATCAGTGTGGAGGTGGAGATTGTCAGCTTCTGCTTGAAGGGGTACACGATGCAACGGAACCTGTCCAAAAGAGAGGTGAGGGGGGAAGTGCATTCTCTGTGAAAAAAATCTCTGTATTGTGAAATTGTCTGTTGTGCTGTGAAATTGCGTTGAAATTGTCAAAACACACATACAAACACACACAATTAATTTAATAAAATTATTGAATCAGTTGAAAGAAACCTCACCTGTCCACAGCTATCGCCACCAGAGTAAAGACTGAAGCTGACACTGATATGCCTTGAACCATCCCACTCAGCTTACACACTAAACTTCCAAAAGGCCAGCCTGTCAAAGGAGACATATTTAGAATATACAAGAACAGGAGATACAGTGAGGGAAAAAAGTATTTGATCCCCTGCTGATTTTGTACGTTTGCCCACTGACAAAGAAATTATCAGTCTATCATTTTAATGGTAGGTTTATTTGAACAGTGAGAGACAGAATAACAACAAAAAAATCCAGAAAAACGCATGTCAAAAATGTTATAAATTGATTTGCATTTTAATGAGGGAAATAAGTATTTGACCCCCTCTCAATCAGAAAGATTTCTGGCTCCCAGGTGTCTTTTATACAGGTAACGAGCTGAGATTAGGAGCACACTCTTAAAGGGAGTGCTCCTAATCTCAGCTTGTTATCTGTATAAAAGACACCTGTCCACAGAAGCAATCAATCAATCAGATTCCAAACTCTCCACCATGGCCAAGACCAAAGAGCTCTCCAAGGATATCAGGGACAAGATTGTAGACCTACACAAGGCTGGAATGGGCTACAAGACCATCGCCAAGTAGCTTGGTGAGAAGGTGACAACAGTTGGTGCGATTATTCGCAAATGGAAGAAACACAAAATAACTGTCAATCTCCCTCGGCCTGGGGCTCCATGCAAGATCTCACCTCGTGGAGTTGCAATGATCATGAGAACGGTGAAGAATCAGCCCAGAACTACACGGGAGGATCTTGCCAATTATCTCAAGGCAGCTGGGACCATAGTAACCAAGAAAACAATTGGTAACACACTACACCGTGAAGGACTGAACTCCTGCAGCACCCGCAAGGTCCCCCTGCTCAAGAAAGCACATATATAGGGCCGTCTGAAGTTTGCCAATGAACATCTGAATGATTCAGAGGAGAACTGGGTGAAAGTGTTGTGGTCAGATGAGACCAAAATCGAGCTCTTTGGCATCAACTCAACTTGCCGTGTTTGGAGGAGGTGGAATGCTGCCTATGACCCCAAGATCACCATCCCCACCGTCAAACATGGAGGTGGAAACATAATGCTTTGGGGATGTTTTTCTGCTAAGGGGACAGGATAACTTCACCGCATCAAAGGGACGATGGACGGGGCATGTACCGTCAAATCTTGGGTGAGAACCTCCTTACCTCAGCCAGGGCATTGAAAATGGGTCGTGGATGGGTATTCCAGCATGACAATGACCCAAAACACACGGCTAAGGCAACAAAGGAGTGGCTCAAGAAGAAGCACATTAAGGTCCTGGAGTGGCCTAGCCAGTCTCCAGACCTTAATCCCATAGAAAATCTGTGGAGGGAGCTGAAGGTTCGAGTTGCCAAACGTCAGCCTCGAAACCTTAATGACTTGGAGAAGATCTGCAAAGAGGAGTGGGACAAAATCCCTCCTGAGATGTGTGCAAACCTGGTGGCCAACTACAAGAAACGTCTGACCTCTGTGATTGCCAACAAGGCTTTTGCCACCAAGTACTAAGTCATGTTTTGCAGAGGGGTCAAATACTTATTTCCCTCATTTAAATGCAAATCAATTTCTAACATTTTTGACATGCGTTTTTCTGGATTTTTTTGTTGTTATTCTGTCTCTCACTGTTCAAATAAACCTACCATTAAAATTATAGACTGATCATGTCTTTGTCAGTGGGCAAACGTACAAAATCAGCAGGGGATCAAATACGTTTTTCCCTCACTGTATCTGGGACAAATAATGAGTAATGTGAAGTGGATTCTGAGGTTGAATCTCTTTTCAAATACAATGTTATTTGTCAGATGCGCTGAATACAACAAGTGTAGCATTTACTGTGAAATGCTTACTTACAAGCCCCTTTCCCAACAATGCAGTTAAAAAGTAGAAAATTGACAAATAGATAAAAAATAAAATAGAAGTAACACTATAAAATAACACAATAAAATATAAATAACGAGGCTATATACAGGTTATATACAAGGAGTACCGGTACTGAGTCATTGTACTGGGGTATGTGGTAGTTGGGGTGATTGATTGAGGTAATATGTACATGTAGGTTTGGTTAGGTTAGGTGATTGATTAATTGAAGTACTATGTACATGTACAGTTGAAGTCGGAAGTTTACATATACTTAGGTTGGAGTCATTAAAACTCGTTTTTCAACCACTCCACAAATGTCTTGTTAACAAACTATAGTTTTGGCAAGTCGGTTAGGACATCTACCTTGTGCATGACACAAGTAATTTTGTTTACAGACAAATTATTTCACTTATAATTCACTGTATCACAATTCCAGTGGGTCAAAAGTTTACATTCACTAAGCTGACTGTGCCTTTAAACAGCTTGGAAAATTCCAGAAAATGATGTATTTGCTTTAGAAGCTTCTGATAGGCTAATTGACATAATTTGAGTCAATTGGAGGTGTACTTGTGGATGTATTTCAAGGCCTACCTTCAAACTCAGTGCCTCTTTGCTTGACATCATGGGGAAATCAAAAGAAATCAGCTAAGACCTCAGAAAAATATTGTAGACCTCCACAAGTCTGGTTCATCCTTGGGAGCAATATCCAAACGCCTGAAGGTACCACGTTCATCTGTACAAACAATAGTACGCAAGTATAAACACCATGGAACCACGCAGCCGTCATACCGCTCAGGAAGGAGACGTGTTCTGTCTCCTAGAGATCAACGTACTTTGGATGCGAAAAGTGCAAATCAATCCCAGAACAACAGCAAAGGACCTTGTGAAAATGCTGGAGGAAACAGGTACAAAAGTATCTATATCTACAGTAAAACGAGTCCTATATCGACATAACCTGAAAGGCCGCTCAGCAAGGAAGAAGCCACTGCTCCAAAACCGCCATAAAAAAGCCTGACTACGGTTTGCAACTGCACATGGGGACAAAGATCGTACTTTTTGGAGAAATGTCCTCTGGTCTGATTAAACAAAAATAGAACTGTTTGGCCATAATGACCATCGTTATGTTTGGAGGAAAAAGGGGGATGCTTGCAAGCCAAAGAACACCATGCCAACCGTGAAGCACGGGGGTGGCAGCATCATGCTGTGGGGGTGCTTTGCTGCAGGAGGGACTGGTGCACTTCACAAAATAGATGGCATCATGAGGAAGGAAAATTATGTGGATATATTGAAGCAACATCTCAAGACATCAGTCAGGAAGTTAAAGCTTGGTCGCAAATGGGTCTTCCAAATGGACAATGACCCCAAGCATACTTCCAAAGTTGTGGCAAAATGGCTTAAGGACAACAAAGTCAAGGTAATGGAGTGGCCATCACAAAGCCCTGACCTCAATCCTATAGAACATTTGTGGGCAGAACTGAAAAAGCATGTGTGAGCAAGGAGGCCTACAAACCTGACTCAGTTACACCAGCTCTGTCAGGAGGAATGGGCCAAAATTCACCCAACTTATTGTGGGAAGCTTGCGGAAGGCTACCTGAAATGTTTTGACCCAAGTTAAACAATTTAAAGGCAATGCTACCAAATACTAATTGAGTGTATGTAAACTTCTGACCAAATGGGAATGTGATGAAAGAAATAAAAGTTGAAATAAATCATTCTCTCTACTATTATTCTGACATCTCACATTCTTAAAATAAAGTGGTGATTCTAACTGGCCTAAGACAGTGAATTTTTACTAGGATTAAATGTCAGGAATTGTGAAAAATGGAGTTTAAATGTATTTAGCTAAGGTGTATCTAAACTTCCGACTTCAACTGTATATTTGCCCCACGCCTATTACACAGTTTCCAATCACTCTGCTTGTCTTTCCAAGTATTCCCTTGCTCAGTCCATATACATTTTTGTCAATGCTTATGAAACTGCATGATATATACCTTTTTCATAAGATTTTTATTTTGTTCATCTATAATTTTCGTAGCTGTTACCACCACAAACAGATGCTGCCACTAAGACCGCACTCAGCAAGCTGTATAAGGCCATAAGCAAACATCAAAATGCTCACCCAAATGCGGCATTCCTAGTGGCCGGGGATTTTAATGCAGGGAAACTGAAATTCGTTTTACCTAATTTCTACCAGCAAGTCTCCTGTGCAACTAGAGACGAAAAAACTCTGGATCACCTCAACTCTACACACAGAGACGCATACAAACCTCTCCCTTGCCCTCCATTTGGCAAATCTGACCAATACTCCATCCTCTTAATTCCTGCTTACAAGCAAAAACTCAAACAGGAAGTACCAGTGACGCGTTCAATACGGAAGTGGTCTGATGTTTCGCTAGCACAGATTGTAATATGCTCTGGGATTCATTCAATGGCATTGAGGAGTTTACCATATCAGTCACCGACTTCATTAATAAGTGCATCGACGACATAGTCCCCACATTGACCGTACATACAAATCCTAACCAGAAGCCATGGATTACAGGCAACATCCACACTGAGCTAATGCTAGAGCTTCCACTTTCAAGGAGCAGGACACAAATCTGGACACTTATAATAAATCCTCCTATGCCCTCCAACGAACCATCGAAAAGGCAAAACATAAATACAGGACTAAAATCTAATCCTACTCTGATGCTCGTCTGATGTGGCAGGGCTTGCAAACTATCATAGATTACAAAGGCAAACCCAGCCGCGTCCCGCCCAGTGACACGAGCCTACCAGAGGAGCTAAATGCCTCTATGCTCGCTTCGAGGCAAGCAACACTGAACCATGCATGAGAGCAACAGCTTGTAACGCTCTCGGTTCGACAGACGCTGGGAGATGGGAAGCAAGTACAGGATGATGATTTAATAAATAAAAGACATGGGAAAAAACACACACAGTGTCTGGACAGGGGAAACGAAACAACATCAATGCTGACACGGGGATCAAACAGAGGAACAGACAGATAAAGGAAGGGCAATCAACAAAGTGAAGGAGTCCAGGTGAGTCCAATGAGCGCTGATGCGCGTAATGATGGTAACAGGTGTGCGTAATGATGGGCAGCCTGGCGCCATCGAGTGCCAGGGAGTGGGAGCGAGAGCAGGCGTGACACAGCTGTTCCGGACGACTGTGGGATC